GTGCGAATGGTCACGTGATATAGATTTTGGTGGCGTAGTGTGGACGGAGATATGTTCAGAAACGCTAGGTAAAACGCTGGTGTGGACGTGGATCGTTTTTTTTATCTAAAACACCGTTTTAAAACGAAAATGCACTAGTGTAAACAGGGCCTACAGATACTCGAAGCCTATGCTGGCATTTCCCCTGCGGTGTTGCTATCAGTGTGTGAAGAGTGGGAGAAGAGAGTTGCATTGACAATTCAACACAATGGGCAGCACATTGAACAAGAGAATAAAGAATAAAGTTATGTTAAAACCAAGCACACCATTGCTTTTCTTGTGAAATTCCCAATAAGTTTGTGTCAAATAACCCTCTTCCTATTGAAAAAACTAAAGTTGGATGCAAGATGGCCGACTTCAAAATGGCCACCATGGTCACCACCCATCTTGAAAAGTTTGTCCCCTCACATATACTAATGTGCCACAAACAGGACGTTAATATCACCAACCATTCCTATTTTATTAAGGTTCCATTTAAATGGCCCACCCTGTACACTATTTGAACCTCTTCAGTACACTTTCCAAGGGCTTAGCTTGTTTCTTTTTGTCATAGTAATATTTGCCAACACTATTAATGACACTTTATTCTGTCATCATTTACATCCCACCTTCACTCATTCCAAACATTCATTAGATTTTTCTGATTAACACAAAAAAGATATTTTGAAGAAAGCTGGAAACCTGTAAGTAACCATTGACTTTAATAGCATGTTTCTCCTACTATGGAAGTCAAGGGTTATAAGTAATCAGCTTTTTATTAAATATAGAAGACAAAAATATTATGGGTGAGGTTTGAAACTACTTGAGGGTTAGTAAACAGTGAGACATTTAATACAGTGAATAGACTATCACCTTATTATGTAAGAAAAACACAATGATTATCATCATATTGTCTAAACATTGTCAAATGCCATCAAAGCAGCAGCATATTTACCTTTATAGAGTGGAGGAACTATGAGGTCAATTTGTATGCCAAAACCTGGAAGCGAGTCAGCATTATACATATAGCAGTTTCGGTTCCCGTGTCCCAAAGTAAATGAGTTTTTTCAATGGGATTTCAGTTAAATCGCTTAAATAAGGTTCATGGTTTACACAAACTCAAGATACTTTCACTTGTTACTCTACGACATAAAACACATCAGTTACATTACTTTTGATTTTTTAAATCGGTTATGCTTCTTTAAAAAGACGGTTGCTATCAATTTACTAAATGGGACTACAGGGGGTGTCGGAGACATTATACGTCATCCAGCTGATCTGTCTGTGATTTAAGTATTAAATAATGCCTTCACTTGTAAAGACTGGCAAGACAGATTAATTTGTTGATCATTTATTTTAATGAAACGATATTATGAAGATACTGCTTACCAGTGCAGCCTGTCTCTTTCCTGCTCTCAGTAATGCAAACATGTGAATAAATGTGTAAAAAATACATATTAACTGTCATTTAAACATGAACAAATGATTTTTCGACATTTTTTTCTTCATCTGAACACATTTACTGTCATACCTGCACTATGTACACTCCTCCTTAAAATATATAGCAGATGTGACTGTATGGGCTGCTTTTCGCTGTAATTTGTGACACAAAAAGAATATTGATCGATACAGTTATTTAAATATGTCTTATGATAATACTATGTAGGCACATTTATACAGTTTTAAAACTTTTACAACAACCGTAAAGCAAAACAGATGTATTTCTCAGGTAGAAACATTTTTTGCGTATTTATTTGTTTATAATAAACTGAGAGATTAACTCTTTGTCACGGTCCATATTTCTAAAAATAAGCTTGAAAAGTTGTCTGTAGCAGGGGGGTGCTGACGTCACAGGCGAGTGTCCTGAAGGCGCTGTAGTCCGTTTATAGCCTAATGTTAGCTTTTCAGTTCTTGCGTTTGCATTTAAGATCTTAAAGTGCTCAAAGTTGTATTTTCGTGTGAGGATTATCCGGCTGGACAAAACGTGTAAGTGTAATGAACAGTGTTTCAGCACAGAGCTTATTATTTGCAATCTTTAAAAAGCCTATGGGAAAATCCTTCACGGATTTTTTTGAGGGAACCAGTTTTATGCTAGCAGCCATTTAGCCAACAAGGTGATGTCATAGTTCCTCCACTCTATACAACGGAACATAACAACAGCAACTAAATCACAGACCAGGATGATGTAGACTACTTGTTTCTTTAAGTTTAGATAGATACATTTACAGTGGAATATCATTCATGAACATCCTTTAAACATTTCTCTGCTGAAAAAAAACAGCTTAAACCAGCATAGGCTGGTTGGCTGGTTTAAGCTGGTTGACCAGGCTGGTTTTAGAGGGGTTTTGGCCATTTCCAGGCTGGCTTCCAGCTATTTGCAGTCTGGTCTTAGCTAGTCAGGCTGGAAGATGAACAGCTAAAACCAGCTTGACCAAGCTGGGAGCCCAGCCAAAACCAGCTATGTCCAGCTTAAACCAGCTGGTCAAGCTGGTTTTGGTTGATTTTAGCTGGTCATTTACAGCCTGACCATCTAAGACCAGACTGCAAATGGCTGGAAATCAGCCTGGAAATGGCCAAAACCCCTCTAAAACCAGGCTGGTCAACCAGCTAAAACCAGCCGACCAGCCTAGGCTGGTTTAAGCTGGATTTTTCAGCAGGGTTATGTATGGTTGCCATTCATCCAACATAAAACAAATCTCAATGTGAACTGTTACACCAAAAAGTATTGTGTACAGACAAAAGTTCCTGTCAAGGTCTGTAAAAGTACTATACATATTGTCATCAAATCGTCTTTGCTGATCCTTCCTTTAACAACTAGCTGGCGAATCCCACTTTGCAGGGTAGGTTATTATATTAATCATCCCAATGTTCACTCATAGGGCAGCATGGTGGTGTAATGGGTAGAACAATCGACTCACAGCAAGAAGGTCGCTGGTTCGAGCCTCGGCTTGGTCAGTTGGCATTTCTGTGTGGAGTTTGCTTGTTCTCCTCGTGTTTGCAAGGATTTCCTCCGGGTGCTCCGGTTTCCCCAACAAGTCCAAAGACATGCGCTATAGGTGAATTAGGTAAGCTAAATTGGACGTAGTGAATGCGCGTGAATGGGTGTGTATGGATGTTGGATGATGGGTTGCAGCTGGAAGGGCATTCGCTGGGTAAAACATATGCTGGATAAGTTGGTGGTTCATTCCACTGTGGTGACCCCAGATTAATAAAGGGACTAGGCCGAAAAGAAAACTAATGAATGAATGAATGTTTACTCATTAATGTTCACTCATCCCTAGTCATGATCAATTCCACACACACCCGCACTCGGCTAGTGTTTGAAGGGAAAGGCGCATTCATGTTTTACTGGATCTGGCACTTCATATTCAGAATTGTTTTGTGTCATTAGCCCCTTTCACACATACAGACCTTTCCGGAAAATTGCCGGCAATTTTCCGGAAAGGTTGTATGTGTGAACAGGTCCTTTTTGAAAATACTGGTAAATTGGTTCTGGCTATTTTCCGGAAAGAGAAGTTGTAACATTACCGGCAATTTGCCGGAACGCTGCGCTGTGTGAATGCAGAAGGAAGATTGCCGTAATAAGCGCGTGCACGTCTAGAACGTGCTGACGTGAGACGTCTGCTTTAGCCAATCACAACAGTCAGACGCATTTACGTCCGCGCGGTTTGTGAGGATAAAAGCCTTTGAATATTTTTCCAGACACATTTAGCTGCTAGAAGTTAGTCAGATCACGTTTATATGTTCTTCTTAATGCCAACTGTGTAAATAATCATCGATGAGATGCTTATGATAAGCCGTTGTTTGTTTACCTTCAAGCTTTGCGTGTGCCTGTAAAACAGCCTGTGAGCACCTGCACACGCACATATTATGAACATCTCGACATGCGAAAGTGTTTTTGCGAAAGTTGTTCACAATATTGATCATCCACAGAGTCTGTAATTTAGTCAAATGTTTACAAATACAAGCGCAGCCGTTTAAAGCTCATTTGTGGTGAATGATGTCAGAATTTACCGGTATTTTGGAATGGATGTTTGAATGCTCTTTTCCGGAAAATTTCCGTAACGCCTTGCCTGTGTGAACAGCGCTTTTTTTAACATACCGGTAAAGTCGTTCCGGAAATTTTCCAGATATTTACCGGTATCACTGTGTGAAAGGGGTTAATGTCAATACAAACAGGCAAAATATTCGGATAAACGACAAATCATTTAAATGACTCTGAGTTGATTATTTAAAAAAAAAATCAATAGTTTTAAACAAGTTGCACTTTAAGATTTAAATCTCAGCTGGATGTTTTCATTAACTTAGAGCTGTGTTACAGACTGCATATAAGGTAATATTCAAAAACCCATAATAGGGGCACTTTAAGTCTAAAGGAGTTGCAAACAAGCCTATTTCCCCCCAAAAAAGTGTTCCTTTAAAAGTGCATATTAGAACCTAAAGTTTACATATTAGTACCTAAAATACAAAAGAACTTTTAAAAAACTTTAAGCACCATAAAAAACCCTTTAGATACAAATATGTAACTTCTGTAAAGGTACCACCCCAGTGAACTACTGTATACTGTATATGCAAGTATGAACTGTACCGGTGGATATTTCTCTCAGTCCAAATCACTCTTTCTTGCTTTTCCTCTTTGATCTAAAGCAGCAGCGCATGATGAAGAATTTGGCCATTTTAAAGCAGATGTAGAGGACTAGAGTCAGGACAGTGGTAAGAAAAGCGAACACATCCAGACAGTGGTACTGATACCAGGTCAGGTTGTGGGCCTCCACACGCAGGTGTTTTGCACCTTTATTGCGCATGACGAACTCAATCCAGAACACAGACTCATCTAAAGGCTTCATTGGTCTGTCGTGATGAATCCTGGACAAACGCATTGCATTCTCTTTATACCTGCGGAGAAACAGAGCACCTTAGTCCAGAGATCTGCAGTGTTATGCACTGATAACAGAGTAAATCAGATCATATGAGTGACTTACGAAGGGTCATTAATGACTGTATTGAGTTTGTCCACCAGTTCTTGTGGCTGCATGCTCTTAATGCTGTCTACTACAACAGCAGCACCTCTGGTGGTCATATGAACCATATTATCAGGCTGGTCACCAAACAAGGGGATGCCGACCATCGGGACACCATGATATATGGCCTCATATATGCCATTAGTGCCCCCGTGAGTGATGAACGCTCTGGTTTTGGGGTGGCCTGATTGAGAAAAACAGATCAATTTGTCATTAAAGTAAATTACAAAGTAGATCAACAAACAATGGTGAAATGACCAAAAAATCATAATCAAGTAAAAGAACCATTACTTGCCAAATAATGTAGAGCAATTAGAGTAAAAATATAGAGTGTATTGAGGTTAGTCTGTCTGTGATGCATGATTAGATTCTACTTAGTCTACTTCACCCAGTCACAAATGTTAATACAAACCCAGTAAATCATTCTGAGGCATCCACTTATAGATTCTAGTGTTTTCACCAAGAGTATCTGGTTTCTCTCCACCGTATCGCCACAAGACCTGCAACACAGTTACACAAACACACTCTCAACTGATCATAGCAATGAATAAGAGACTATAGACAAACACATGTAAAGATTTAACATGACTTTTTTCATTTCAGTCCATTTATTTAGAAGAAGTGTTTAATCTATGATGATACTTGCAAGCAAAGGCTGTACTGTTACCTTCTGTGGTATCTGTGCCAGTGCTGAGGCGATTCTATTGCTCATCTCTTTGGGCACTTTGTCTATCATAGACCCCAGTGTGAAGACCACGATCCCATCATCCCCTGAGCTCTGCACAAACTCTTCCATGTCCTGCACAACAACAAAAACACTTAAACTAAAGGTGTTTAAAGTAATTCCACATATTTATGAACAGTTTGTAATATGCTGGGACATGTACATCCCCAAATCAGAAAAAGTTAGGACAAATAAAAAAGAAAGAAGTGATTTCTAAATTTACTTTGACTTTTATTTAATTGCAGACAATACAACAAAACTTTTTAACTTGTTCCTTATGATTTATTTATTTATTAATTTCAAAATAAACACATATTCAAATTTTGGTTATTGCAACACATTTCGAAAACAATTTGGAACATTAAAGCATTTACCACTTCATGATGTTGCTACTCCTTTTCACAACTCTTAAAATACGTTTAGGGACTGAAGACACTAAGTGATGAAGTGTTTCAGGTGTCATTTTGTCCCATTCATTCTGCAAACAAGTCTTAAGGTGAGCTACAGTACGGGGTATTCACTGTTGCATTTGCGCTTCAAAATGCGGCACACATTCTCTGTTGGAGACAGGTCAGGGCAGCAGGCAGGCCAGTCAAGTACCTGTATCTCTTCCTCTGCAGCCAGGACTTTGTAATGTGTACAGAATGTGGTTTTTCGTTGTCTTGTTAAAATATACATGGGCATCCCTGGAAAAGAAGGCAGCATGTTGTGCTCCAAAATCTCTATGTGCTTTTCAGCATTAATGGTGCCATCACAGAAGTGCAAGTTACCTTTGCCAAGGGCACTGACACAAGCCCATACCCTGACTGACCTTGGCTTTTGGACTTGTTACTGGTGACAGTCTGGATGATCGTTTTCTTCTTTGGTCACGGCATCTATTTCTCCCAAAAAATACATAAAACACTGACTGATTCATCTGACCACAGTACACATTTCCACTTTGTGATGGTCCATCCCAGATGCCTCTGAGCCCCTTGAGAAGTCGATGGCACTTCTGGACACTGTTAACATAGGGCTTTCTTTTGGCGTGTGGTGATATCGCTTATAGATGAATGACGATTCTTGATGCAGTGCCACCTAAGGGATCGGAGATCACTGTTGTTAAGCTCAGGCTTGTGCCCTTGTCCTTTATGTACTGCAATTCCACCAGATTCCTTGAATCTCTAGATCAGGGGTCACCAACCCTGTTCCTGGAGAGCTACCTTCCTGCAGAATTCAGTCCCAACCCTGATCAAACACACCTGAACCAATTAATAGTACCTAAAGCAGCACTTGATAATTACAAACAGGTGTGTTTGGCCAGGGTTGCAACTGAAATGTGCAACAATGTAGCTCTCCAGGAACAAGGTTGGTGACCCCTGCTCTAGATTATGATATGCACTGTTAAATATGAAATATCCAAATGTTTTCCTTTCTTTCTTTGAGGAACTTTGTTTTTATACATTTTTAATAATTTTCTCACATATTTGTTGGCAAACTGGCGATCTTCTGCCCATCTTTGCTTCTAAAGGACTAGACCTTTCTTGGATGCTGCTTTTGGACCAAATCATAATTATAATCACCTGTTGACATCACTTGTTTCAAATCACATCATTTTTTAACCAATTTACCTGATTACTCACCCTAAGTTGCTCCTGTACCTTTTTTGAAATGTGTTGCAAAAACCAAAATTGGAATAGGTGTTTATTTTGAAATGATAAAATCATAAAGAACACATTAAATAATGCTTGTTGTATAAGTCAAAGTAAATTTAAAAATCACTACTTTCCTTTTTATTTGCATTTTCCATACTATCCCAACCTTTTCTGAATTGGGGTTGAAGAATATATTGCAGTTTTCTGGTAAAATAAAGATGGTTAATGAAATAGCAAAGTAAAAGTAATAATGGCAAGAAGATGTATTTTTTATTGAACCCAAACAGCATACGATTCAAGAAGAAATGACTCTTATGAGTTGTTGTTTTTCAATAAAGTGGATAAGAAATACTGAGTTAAATGAACATAATTCATTCAGACTATCACTAAAACATCATGTGACTCCCTCACTGAACATTACTTTCAGTCAAATAATGAACTTTTCTTGTACTTGTAGGCTTGCTTTTTACCAACAAATTAATCTTTGAATGAATGTTAAAAACACAGATGCACCTTGGGTAATGGCTTGGCAGGAGTGCAGTGAAGCCCTCCGATATATTTGAAGTTGGGCACGAATGGCCGTGGAAACTCAAAATCCCAGTAGGTTCTGATTAACCAGATATCAGCTTTACCCTTCATCTCACAATAGGAAGTGGACCGTCCTGAAATGAAGTGTGTTTGATAGTATGTAAAAAACAAATTCCCTTAATAATATGCATTGCTAAGGTTTTTCATTTTGCTAACTTACTCAATATTTAGATTTTTTCTAAATCCTCAGTTTTTAGATTTTCAAATAATTGTATCTCGACCACATAATACTCTGTCCAAACAAACTATACCATATCATATTATACCAAACCATAGCTCATCTATTCTGCTTTCAGATGATGATTTGGTTGTACTAATTGTGTTTGTTTAGCTAATAGAACATACCCAAAACCCTTTTATCTTGTAACTTTAAATATATCTTACATTCTGCGCATGCTATTTTTTAGACAGGTCAGTTTATTTTTATTTGGAAGCTTCACGTTACTCACCAAAATATTCTGTGTAATAGTTGTCAAATTTTTTCCACATTTGTTTAGAAAAGGTGTCTAGAGAAAGGTAGAAGAGCATATTAAAGATTCGCTCAGTAAAGCTCATCTTGTCTGTGAGTTTACTCATGGCTCCAGGAACATATGATGGTGGAGCTGGTATCTGACCACACATGCGCTCTGCTGCATGAGCAACGGAGAATCTGAACGTGTAAACCAAGGGAACATTCAGCTCTTCAGCCACAATATCACTACATGGGTACATTGGATCTGACAGGACAACATCAAACTTTCCTTTCTTCAATTTGTCCATCAACTCTGGAGATTTCAGAATGCCGTCACAGTAGGATAAACTCATATCTTGATGTCTGGAACCAAGCTCAAAGAATTTCATTTGAATCTCAAGCAGGTTTGAATTCTCCAACTCAAACACTGAGAAATGCAGAACTTCATCTAAGAAATCTTGCATGTCCTGTGCAGATTTGGACACACTGAAGTGCTGGTAGTAGAAGCGATCCGATTCTTTGGCTTTCATAAACAGAGCGCCATCAGGAACCAGCACTGTAACATTGTGTCCCCTGTCTAATAAAGTGTCCAACACAATCTTTAGATTAATCCAGTGGCTGCCCTCAGTATACCAGACTAATATATTCCCACATTGTCCAGCGCTGAACACAGTGAGCAGAGAAAGAAAACAGACCACGAGTCTCATGCTTGCGAATGACAGAGTATGAGATTATCAGTGTTCTTCTTGAACATGTACTGCCTGGTTTAATTTTTAAGCTAATATATACTGTGGATTTCAACAAGTCATGGCGTATGGCATAAATCAATAAAGTTTTAAGGTAAAAGGTTGGAGGCCAAAGGGAAAGGTAATGAAAGTTCATACTCATAGACCTATAATCACTTCTGGGGGGTAAAAACATGGATACAGTGAAAACTTTAACCCAGTTTTATGCAATAGTTTTAAACATGTAAAGCAAACTAATATAAAAGGTTGATGTCACATTTTTAAGAAGGGGGACCAGAGGGTGTAGTCCAACTATAAGGGGATCACACTCCTCAGCCTTCCTTGAAAAGCCTATGCCAGTGTCCTAGAGAGGAGAATCCAGCTAATAGTCGCACGTTGGATTTAGGAGAAACATTGCAGAATTTTGTTTAGGCTGTGAAACACTGGATCAGCTCTGTACTCTCTCTACGGTGCTTGAGGGTTCATATGAGTTTGCCAGACTAGTTCACATGTGCTTTGTAGACTTGGAGAAGGTATTTGATTGTGTCCCTTGTGGTATTCTGTGGTGGGTGCTCTGTAAGTATGGAGTTGGAGGCACTTTGTTAAGGGTTGTCTGATCTCTGTATTACTAGAGCAAAAAGGGCAAAAAGTCGGACGTGTTCCTGAACACGTTGGACTCTGGGTTTGATTTTGGGGCACAGAATTTGCAAATGATATTTTCTGGTTGGCTTCATTGGACCTGCATTGAGGTCATCATGTTAAACTGAAAAAGGAGGCTTGCCATCTCCAGGTTAGAGGAGGCATTAGCAACATTGTTCATGTTGATTTCACACTTTGAATATACATGTGAAATGTAAATATAAAATATTGCATTTTCTTTTAGCACACGCAAATAATTTCCTTAATGTTTTTTTTTTTTTTTTTGGCCAAAGTGTTAACAATGCTAGGCAAATAAATATGCAGAAATAAATTTTACCCTGTCTGTTGGACTAGAATTCGCTCTTTATCTCACCAAAATTTTCAGTGTAATTGTTGTTGTTTTTTCCAGGCATAAATAGTCTTGAGATTAGAATAACATATAGCAGTTTCTGTGAGTAATCACTTACATTTGATCCTTTTTATTACGCAAACCTTTTTTTATGGCTTTAGATCTTGTGTAAAGCAAATATTGAAGATTATGGGCTCTTTTATGGTACATTTGTTTTCCTTTTCTGGAGGTGGACAACTGTAAAAGCATGGGGGCGGGGCGCTATCACTATAATTTGGCCTATATCTGATATTAAGGCATGGATAAACTAGGGTGGCATTTGACACCCTGAGAAAAAGCATTGGCAGTACTGTAAACCAAGTATATTAAAATATAAATCAGTTTTCTCGCATCACTTTAAGGACACAAAATACGTAGTGCAAAGAACGATTCATGAACTGCTTTTAGTCAGTCATGCAGCCGCAGTCTCCATGTTACCATATATTCATTAATTCATTTTCTTTTCGGCTTAGTCCCTTTATTAATCTAGGATTGCCACAGTGGAATGAATATGTTTTATGCAGCGGATGCTCTTCCAGCTGCAACCCATCACTGGGAATGTTGCCATATATAGTCATTATAAACATTGTGTCATTGGACTTAAAAAATAGTACTAATACTGATTAATACTAAATTAGGTAACACTTTAC